CCGGCATGTCGCTGATCCGGAACGACAGGCTCACAAAAGGAGGAGGGGTAATCCTGTACTACCGAAACGACTTACAGCGCGAAGCCGTGGAGGATTCAGATTCGCAGTTCCCCGACTCGCTTTGGTGCCGGTTGCAGTTAAAAGGCAGGGACGCTTACCTTATTGTCTTCGTGTACCGCGCCCCTAACTCAACACCCGAAACCGACTACCACCTAATGGCTACTTTAAGGTGCAGTTTACAACAAAAGTACACTCACATTCTTATCATGGGTGATTTCAACGTACATTGTTTAGAAGCCCCTGTCACAACCGACGAACAATTCAAAACCGATTTACAAGATCTAGTAACTACTGCTCCTCTTTACAACCACATCACTTTGCCCACTCGGTTCAGAACTGGTAACAGGCCATCTGTGCTGGATCTTGTGCTTACCAACGAGGAGCATATGATAGATGCGTTGGTTTTAGACTGCCCGTTGGATCGCAGTGATCACGCGTTCATCAGTTTCAACTTCGTCTGCTATGCAGAATATCTGAATGATAACGATGATACTGTGCGAACCATCACAAGGTACGACCGACTCGCCCAGCTAGTCAGCGCTACAACATGGTCTTTTCTCGAAGAAGAACCCCCGGAAGTCGCCTGGCTCGAGTTCGTCAACAAATTCAGTCAGCTGATTGCACAGGCTTCAGAGATAAAAGCTTGCAATAAGTGCAAATCCGTTTCTTTCGTTAGGAGCAGAAACCGAAAATGGATGACAGTACGCAACGAAGCATGGCGAGTGTACAGAGAAGCTCCAGCACCAGAAACTTGGGACAACTACGTAGCCCAACGTAACCACTGCACTCAACTGTTAAGAGAAGACAAAGCCGCCTATCAGCAGAACATCGCAAAAACCTTCAGTGCTAACCACAAACTGCTGTACAAGCACGTTAATAGCCTACGAAAGGTGAGACAAGGATTTCCTCCACTCAAGACGGTTGATGGCCCAACAAGAACGTCTATGGAAGCTGCAAACGCGCTGCAGATGCAATACGCCCCCACGTTTCAAAGGGTCTTGCCATCAAGCGATCTACCAAGCTTTGTATTCTGCTCACCAGGACTAACCAACATCAATTTTACCGCAGAGGCTGTATTGCAAAAGCTGACTTCTCTACGCAAACACAGCTCGCCGGGTGTCGACGCCATTCGTCCTGAGGCATTGGGAGTAGCAGCGAACCAACTGGCAGGACATTTAGCTCAGTTTTTTCAGCACTGCTTAGACCAGAACCAAGTTCCCGCCATGTGGAAGCTTGGAATAATAAGCCCGATTCACAAAGGTGGAAGCAGATCTGATCCCTCCAACTACCGTCCAGTAACCCTTCTTCCTATACTCTCCAAGGTCATGGAATCCATAGTTGCCGATGCACTGGTGTGCTATCTGGAAAACTGCAACCTCATCACTCCTGAACAGCACGGTTTCCGTCGACAGCGGTCATGTACAACTAATTTACTAATTGCACGCAGTAGTTGGACCGAGGCAGCCGACGCTGGAGAAGGTGTTGATGTGATCTACCTGGATTTTTCCAAGGATTTCGATCGTCTAGACCATCGGATACTACTATCCAAGCTGCAGCATTACGGGATCGGCGACCCTCTTTTAAGCTGGATCGCCAACTTTCTATTTCAAAGGCAATTAGTGGTCAGAGTTCGGAGCTCTTTATCGGACCCCATACAAGTGGAGTGTGGTGTGCCGCAAGGCTCAGTTCTAGGTCCACGTTTGTTTTTGGTGTTTATTAATGACCTTGCACAGGGAATCGCTTCAAACTTTCTAATGTTTGCCGACGATATCAAGATCTGGCGCAGGATCCAGGCGAACGCCGACCAACATGTGCTTCAGAGTGACTTAGATACAGTGTATCAATGGTCGACCCAAAACTTATTGCATTTCAACGTCAGTAAATGCAAGGTGCTTTCCATCCGACATCACGGCAGCTACTCATACCGACTCGGAACGGATGTACTGCAACAATCAACTCTCGAACGTGACTTGGGTGTCCTGGTTCAAGATGACTTGGGTTGCTCCAGGCAATCCGAAAAGGCCTCGAAGACCGGGAACCAACATGTGGGGCTGTTGAGGCGGGCGTTTGGACAAATAAGCAGCTCCATATTTCGACAAATGCTCAGTGCGTATGTTCGCCCCCATGTCGAATACGCAATTCAAGCATGGCATCCATGGCTGAAACACGACCTTAATGCACTGGAGCAGCCTCAACGCCGGGCATCTAAGAACGTAACTGGAATGCGCAATCTGTCCTACCAGGAGAGGCTGCGACGACTAGGATTGTTCAGTGGAAGCTATCGCAGGCTACGAGGCGACCTGATTATGACATACTTGATTCTGCGAGACCCACATCATGTGTGCCGCCCTTTACTGCAACTCAGCAGCAATACAAACCTGAGGGGCCACTCATTAAAACTCGCAGAACAATACAGTCGTCTGGAGTGCCGCAGAAATTTCTTTTCCATCCGTGTCTGTCACCCGTGGAATGCTCTCCCAGAATCGGTCGTCTCTGCACCGACACTAACAATATTTAAAAGACGGTTGGACGATGCACTCATTCACTTACACTTTGTTACTTAACACTACGTCTCCATCTTACACCTGGAGTTTACCCTGGAATTATTTGTTGTTAACTGTGGGTGTTGTGAATCTAAGTGGATCGCAGGACTGCAGCGAAGCAAACGATAAGTCCTTATTTTCGTATTTAAAGTGTTAACTATTTTACTATCCTTTTCATCATAATTATTATGTTGATATCCCCACCAACTATCCAACGGGGCTTGTAAAGCAACGCTTCTTAACCCGTATAAATTCATTGTTCATTGTTCATAGTACATGGCTACAGTTCGTTCTAATGTAACTAACTCTCGATAATTAATGAGCACAGTTGCTCTTCTTACCTTCCCAGTTAAACTTTCTATTAATATTTAATGATGTTCCTTATACCAACGCTTACCGTTGCTGCTTCTTCGAATTCACAACTCCCACTTATCTTTCTCCATATTATTATTAGGCACCTCGTCCTCAATGACAAAACCAGTTCTCTTTGAAAAGTCTGTATCTCGCACTGTTTACATACATACATACTTTGCCCTTTATGATCTTGCAGTGATTCAGTTGAGAAGCAGCGACACAGCATTAGCCAATTGCCACTGTATATAATTGGTGATATTAAAAGCAATCTGGTGACTATCAGAGAAGCAGCTGCGTTCATGTTAGGTGAGTCACTGTTCCGAGAAGCGTTCGGCACAGTCACTTCTCCGAATAAACAATTTGCTTCATATAACTAGTAAACATTATCCGATCAGTTATGTAACCAAGAAGTTTGAAGCAAAAAGGAATAATGCTGCTTATCAGTCCGTCTCGTAACACTTTACACCAGTCAGTCCTGAACTAAAGCCTTTACCCTTAAGGCACCGATTCGTGGCGGCGGTCAACGCTCATTGGAGGAGTCATTTTTGAGTCAACTGTTGTGTGAGGTTGGCTTAGAAAAGCACATCGGGGTTCAGAATGAGCCTGCACGTCTTAATCAATTCCCACAGCCAGTGCTTTAGAGAGGACCGTTCCAACCAGATTATCTTTTGACTATAGTGAATGAAATGTGGTACATAATAAGGAAACATCCACCGTGGAACATGAAAGCTAGGGTGGCATAGCGAAACAGGTAGGTGAACACAACCTTGTCGACTACAAATGACGAATGGGCTATTGATCTATTTAAGCGGCAGTTGCACTAGAAAAGCAGTGCGACAATTCGATTCCACTGTGACTGTGAATTGCTTGACTAACAGCCAGTGGTCCGAGCAGAAATGACTGCAATCGCACATGCTTTTAGCTGAGTTAGTGGAAAGAAGGTTGAGCGCAGGCCCCTACGCTGTTGTCTGCTCACAACTACCCGAACTCCTGACTATTGTCTATGGGTCAACGTCCAATATCGCCAACTGCCGGAGGGTCCGCTTCACACAATACAATATGTTGCATGGAGGAAAACGCCACGCCCCACTAAAAAGAATCGAGCTATGTGTGAACTAGAAAATGGAAGATTAAATCAACTGTGATTCTGTTGATTTGAGGGTGCATGCAAACTGGTGATAGTTCCGAAACACATAGTAGAATCTATTTGTACTTAACACCCCATTGTTCAAGCAAGTGCATTATGAAAAGGCTACAGTAACCCTTTAAGCTGCAACTTTTCGATTTCACGAGACCCTACACTCAGGTGCCTTAATGTAGTCAAAAAATGCCTCCGGCTAGCATAAGACAGCATACCAAACTTCTCCTTTCATAACCTATCGATAATAGATTTCCAAGGGTGAGAACCAGCTTCCAAACAAGTGACTGCATCCCACTGCCTGTGTTTTTCAACCTACTTTAGCGCCAACTGTTAATGTACAGGCACATGATTCCATCGACGTACATGAGTGACCTTACCGTGTTACCAAACCGATTATGAACAAGACAGCGCCATTTGATACGAAGCCAAAGACTTGCATTTTAGGACGTTTGGGTAGCGCCCTGAGCACCAGTAGGTTACTCGCTGTGAAATTCTTATACCTACTGTAGGTCACGAAAGCCATGCTCTGAAGTCTTGTTCAGAATACAGGCTTTACGTCTACTGTACCTAACAGTCTGTCGAGTAGGACTCGAAAGTGGTGATCAAGGACCCCAGCCCACTGACTGCGTGACAGTAGGAACATTGAAACTACTCTAAAGGGAACCCTGGTGTTCCACCCTTTAGTAATCCGAACACTCATCGCGAACAAGCCTTGCTGAACCCAGCTATGCTTGTCGGATGTAGCTGAAAGCAAGATCAGCTTTCTCTCAACGATCGTTCCGAGGCGAATTCACAGGCACTGATGTGCCAGCACCTGTCCAAATGCGCATTCTGTCTTACCCGTTCACCAAGATTCCGAGGAAAAGATGCAATGGAAAAGGTTGCGGACGCAGCTGACTCACCTGTTCACACTTACACGTGAAGTCGTACATATGATAACCGTATTGCTTGCATGATCCTGGAATGGCATTGTCAATCGTTTTGCATGGTCGACGAGCACATGGGTCTGGGCAAAGTGCCTGTGAAAAGGGATAAGAGAAAGACTGTACAGTCTTCTATTCATTGTGAATAAATGAATAAAATATGGAGTTGAAAACGTAATGACCGGTGTGTGGTTCCCCTTAACAAATGTTCGGTATTCGGTTGGCTTCATGACTCACGAAACCATGGGAAACGGTACTGATAACAACTACTTTTCACGGAAAAAGCAGACAAACTTGGATATTCGCGTGGGCTAAATCTGAAGAGCATAGACCTACCCCCGAACAGCAAGTGAAGTCTCAGAGTCAGCTTAAGATTGCTTCCTAATAGTACTAAACTATCAGTAATTTGTGCATTCCGAGAGGTATTCACCGTAACAAACTAGACCTGTAGCTAATTCGAACACACATTCCAGCAACAGGAACTGTTATTAAACAAAATATTTTCGGATGACTCAGTTATGTGTTGTGGATACACAATCAGCTGGTAGCCTTCTAAATCATCTTTTTGTCGGTTAAGTGTGAGTAAACTATCGTATTTATCGGGTGATGATTGCATCAGCTTAAAAGTTGACTTTCGTTGTCTCAACTGGAATATATTGGTATTGCATAGACGGACTCGGATAACCTCGGTTTAACACACAAAACTGACTGAATGATGGTTTCTAGCATTGGGTTGGCGAAAACAGAGAGCCACTAGTAAAATGCCCGCTAGTTTTTGTAGTCATTATGCAGTTCCATGCAAATAGCCCTGGCAGATAAGTTAGTAGCGGCGTTCAGTTAGCGCTGACGTTTCAAATGAAGCACTGTATTTAGTCCCGGGTAGCGTTTATCTATCCAAACGGATGATATGATTAGGCTCGGAGTGTACACACGCAGTGGCCTAAGCATGGGGTAGTAGAGAAAAGCGACACACCTATGAACATGGATTAATCTTTCCATATCTTTTGTTCATAATACCAGAGAACCAGCAATGGGTTTGCTGTAACAGACTGCTTGAGTAGGCCAACCCCAGTAACAACAAACAAGGCAAGTAGGCATCAAGCTGGAGTTTAGTGGAGACAAGGAGGTGAGCCGTCCATGAGCTGAATTACACTTAAACAGACCGGTCTATCCATAGCTTGATCAATCATGGGCGTCGATTACAAATCCACTCTAGTCTGCCGTGTGCAGCTGGAAACGAACGGTCCTTCCGTGAAGTATTGCAGTTACGTGCTTATGTTGGCGCTTAAAATTGGGATCAATTGATGCAATCACGGCATTGAATTTGGGCTTGGTCCTACGCTAGCGACTGCTCGGCGTTTTTGGCTAAGTGTCCTTATACGCAACGTTGTTCGACACTGACTTTCTATGTGGCCGCGTCGGTTGCACACTGAGCATCTCTGCTTCTTGTATGGATAGGTCAGTACAAAATGTTATTCGCCACACTGCCAGCAAACGGCTGGCGTTTCGCTAAAACAGGCGCTGCTGTTCCATTAGGTTGTTTGGAGCATTTTATTATGAAGTGGCAAGTGGAATTGGATGAGGAACGCTTCAGCATGGCTGTATCGCGCTTGCGATTTATCAAACACTTGATATTCACCAATAACTGTGGATAAAGCTTAAGTCGAATTTGTCTTGATACTTATGGGTTATCTACTGTGGTGTAATATAAGGGGACAGTTCAAGCTTCCTCAGTAACCTGATCCTAATATCCATGTCGGAATGAATGGAGACTGCAAATGAAAATCTGACACTTGAACTCATATTATCAAGGCAGACAGTGTGAACTGTTCGCAGTCGAAATTGACTCTACCAGTGTGTTTGATGAAAATTCATCCTCCTGTTTGGCTAACTACATGCGTTAATACCAAGTAGTAAACAAGGAAATACGCTCACCGAAAGTGTTGGTAGCTGGTGGTCACTTTTGCTAATAGCGAGATCTCTGGCTCTCTTAGGAAGAACAAATTTTGAGTATCGAATGTGCGCTCGGGTTTGCCGCGCTTCCTCAGCAAAATCCAGACTCGTGCGTCGTCCTTGTGCTTCAGTTCGATTATTAAAGTGTACTTATATTCTTAGATTCATAACTCAGAAATCGCTTCAGTATCAGATTCATTCTGGAATTCCGTGATTCTGTTTGCAGTTGCTTCGACTGTATTTTCTTTGGGGGCCGGAACTGATGATCTGTGGGATTAACTTTCCATTCATCGCATCTAGGCCTTATCGAACTGAGTTTGTTGCTAATTCAGGATTGCCTTTAGTTCCTCTGCAGTTACTGACATGTTGCTTGCTTTGTAATCGGCAAACCTTTTGTGTCGCACTGCTAAATTAGGCCAATCTTGGTAAATACGATTGAACAAGGCGTGTGCGTGGTAGGCTGGAGTTTACTGAAGACCAAGACGTGAGTCATATATAAGTTGAAGTACACTGAAACAGACAGATCCGGTCATAGCTCGATCGATTGTGTGTCGATTACGAATACACACTAGTCTGTTGATCGATGCCTTTCCGGTATGTTTCAATCTGACCTTTGGGCTTCAGCCAGCTTTGTCCTTGACCTCCGTTTGTTCTGGCGCAGATGGCTGATTGGCCACGATTAGCGAGCTTAGTTGATCTGCGCTCCAGTAACTGCACTGATCTAACAACTTTCGGCAATAGTCACCAAATATACCACTCTTGCTGATTAAGAATAGCTACAGAGCTGTTGTGCATACAGGAAAGCCGTTCTGGGCCCTCACTGTATCATTCCACATTTTTATTCACTTAGCGCAAAGTCAATGTCAACCGGAGAAAATAAGCTTTGTCGACATACCGATGACAGCCTATATTAGTTCGCACCAAAAGGCCATTCAGCAACTTTGGTAACATAGAAGAGTGGATAAATCTGCATGATAGTGTTTCTGGATTATAATGAGTCCCACCGATCTCATATGCAACGCATACTAAAAGGATGTACACACTGTATGGCTAAACAAATAATGCGGATCGTTAACCGTTAGGCAGTTGCAGTAGCCGTTTCCAAGGTAAAACTACTCTTTCTGCATGAAACAGATTCTGATACTGCGTAAATAACACACGAGACGATTGGAAACACCGTAGAGCCAACATATGAAATTGCCCTATCCGAAAGGTAGGCTGATAAATCTGTCGATGTGAAGCAGAGCCTTCAAAGTTTACATAACATTTATTTCACATCGGTCAAACATCAGCATCCGGCAACGATGCATACTTCACAATATATGTGCTGAACCAAAAGCAGCCGCTGGAGGTCAGTAGTGATGTAGGCTCAGAGTAGGGAAGGATGGAATCGATGCGTTACCGATGGACTGAAGGCCATATAAACGAAAACCAAGCACGCACGACTGGTCAGGCCCAGCGCAATGTAGAAACAGCACGCCTTCGGAAAGCGGAATAGCGGATTGATCAGCAGTACTACTAGTGGATGGCACGTGCTTGAGATCATGTTATCCACGCAAGAACCTGTGATAAATAGCCACGCTTTGAGCAACGACGAAATGAGCACATGGATAATCAGACGTCACCATGCAATCTATCCGTGCTGGCAACAGCGCGGATATGTGTAACAATGAGCGCCATCACAGTGGATGAGCCCGTATGGAAAACCAGCATAAACGAATGGGATGAAGCTGAGATTACAGGCCAGTCGACAACGGTCAGCCACTGAACAGACAACATCGAACCACTGCACGCAATCCAGATACATGGTGTGTTATTAAACTGCTCCGGAGGTAGGAGCAGTTGCACTGAGGTTCTGACGTACACCAGTACGCTGAATTGCTAACGGTCAAATGGCGCACTGTGCTTTAACAGTAGAGGTAAGCTGGTACACAGAGAAGCGACGTATGTGCCTAAGTTCGCGGGGCGCAACGAGCCGTTCCGCTGCCAAAGGCGCACGTTAGCAAACACCACAGCCTCAATCGACCGGTCCTACGTGAATCGCAAGGCAAGACCAAGGGAAGGCCCGCTGTTCGGCTGTGAGAACTGGCGGTGAGCCACATACCACAGCTGAAATGAATTTGTCATGCTTAGATCGATCGGTTGGCTGCCTTCACCCAGGTGAAAAGGAAGCAAAAGGGTTCCCTGTGAAGTGATTAGTGGGTCGCTGTGCTAGCAAGTGATAAAAACAGCCTGGCCGTATTTTATGACTGGTCCATGGGCGCTGTATTGCTATCGCCACAAAAACTGTTATCGCTTCATGACTGGCTTCCAACAAACCCGTAAACTTTCATTAGACTGATTTCGCTGCTAAAGTGGATCATACTGCCAGGAGCACATCGTTAGGTTACAGTGTAGTTCGCTTTAATGTTTCGATCGCGTGTGTGTTACAGCGGACAATTTCCCCTTCATTGGTGCACAACAATGAATTCTTGACTTGAGTTGACTTGACAGTGCTCTCAGACTTCAGTCTGTCCCGACGCTTCGGTGATAAAATTGGACAACACACTAATTTACACTTGAATGCAACTATGCTTTTCAAAGTCAGACAATTGATAGTTGTACAAAATGATCAGGCCTTCGATGGTTCATTTCCTTATATTTACATGGAAGGTGTGAAATGTCTGTAAATATCAACGAAATAGATGTTCGACGTAGCATCCTCCTTTTGGCTACACAGCAGCATTCGCCGGATGGTGTTCGCGAGGATGCTGAGAAATTGCAGACATTAGTACTGTTAAACAAAAACCTACCGGACACAACGCTGGAAAAGAAAAAGGGCCCATATTTTTCGATCAGGCGTCCCAACCCAGGCCTTGAACTTCGCGTTTTGTTACACACGTGAAGCGTTACATTGACATGGGTTGGTTGTTGCCCAGACATGTTACGTATCTTCGCCATGAAGAGGGAACACCGCCTCATCAGTCAATAAAATGGAATGCACGTCCAGACTGTTTAAAAACAACCAGGCAAAGTACTGGCGCTTCTGTGCGTCGCATGTGTTCAGCACTTGCATCTGCAGAGCACTGTACAAACAGCATTTCCCCCTTCAATACCGATGCACAGCATACGGTGTGGTTTCGCAACGTTGTGTGAGTTGCTGA